AGTGGGCAATTTTGGAGGGGAAAAAGGAATATTTGGAGAAGATTGAAAATAAATTAAATGATTTTGAAGAATTTTATAGAAATAAATTAAAAGAAATTGAAATAATTGATTGGAAATTAATTATAAATTTAATGGAATTTAAACAAATATTTGAATTATTTTCTGATGAATTAATTAAAAATAAATTAAAAAATGAAGAAATAATAGAAAATAAAAGATTAGAAATTATTAAAGAAAAATTTAAAATATATAGAGAAGAAATTGAAGAAGAAAAAGATTTGGAAGAAGAAAAAATTGAAGAAAAATTTAAAGAAATTGGTAGTAAATTGGATATTGAATTAATGAATGTTGAAAAGTAAGAAAAAAATAATAAATTATTTTTAAATTTAAAATATAAAGGAAGATAACAAAAACCTTTTAATAGAATCACAAACACTTTAACAGAAACCCATTCCCTAATAATTAAATTAATTATGTACAAACTCGACCTCAATTTAAGCTACTAAATTGAATTTTGATTGAAATCTGGATTAACATAAAAAGTGTCAAAAAGTTAAATTAATTAATCTAAATCTATTTAATTTTTCTTAGATTAAAAATAATTATCAATAATGATATTGAACAAATAACTTCTAATACTCCTTCAAAAAAGAAGAAAATTTCAAGCCAAATTGTTACGAAATTAAATAATATTTATTTAAACTCAGAAACAGAATTTCTCAAAATTAAAGAAAAAATGAGGGAATTATTTGGAGAATTTATGTTTAGTGAATTGGAATTAAAATATCCTCTTCTATTTAGAATTGGTTAGTTTTGAGAGGTTTTTGATAACTTGATTAAAAGCATATAAAGAATAAACCTGGTCCCGAAATAGAAATTTTAATTTAAGAAAAATTTTTATATAATTTAGTTAATGAGTAAAATATAAAGGTAAATTAGAAGGGTTAAATAAGTAATTTAATGTAAAGAATTAAATAAATAATATAAAATTTTTCAAGATCTTGTTGAAGACTCGGAAAAAATTCGCCGATATAAAAAATTATTTTCATATCGAATTAAATCAAGTGAGGCAAGAAAGATTGGGTATAATCAAATTCTTTGTATACTTTTTGAAAATTATTTGAAAGAAATTAAAAAGAAGAATGATAATAATGAAGAAAAAATTAAAAATATTGTTAATAAAACTTGGAAAAAAATAAATCCTTATTTAATAAATGAAAGTAAAACAGAATTAGAAAAAATTATTTTAATATTAAATGAACAAATGGAAAATCCAAAAACACAAAAGGAATTATTTAAACAAATGACTAATAAATTATTTGAAGAAATTAAAGAAATAAATAATAAAGAAACAAAATGGAATGAATTTAAAATATTTTTTGATGAAAATTTTGGGGCAATAGGACGCGTAAATTATACAATATTTGGGGATATAAATATTGATTTTACAAAGGAAACTTTGAGGAATATTTTACCAATTGGTACTAAAAAGTTTTAGATTAGTTAAAAAATAAAAGTTTATTAACTATATAAATTTATTAAACAATAAAATAAACTTAATGTCAATATCTAGCCATGCTAGATATAACAAGGTGGCGGACACATCCTAGAAAATAACAAAATATTTGATAGACTTAAACCTGAGAACTTTTCTACCACTGAGTGATTACTTTATTTGCTAGGCTAAATATCGCCGACGAACAAATATTAGCCAGCGAAGAATTGTAAAAAAATTTCACAAAATTATAAGAATAATTATTATCAAAATTTTAAATATAAATAAAGCCATTTACGTACATAAAATAGAGAATCAAGGACAAGTCAAAAATAATTTACTTAAAACAAATTTATTTGTTCATATAATTATTGCAAACCAGCCTCGCATAAAGTTTTAAATAGAATATAACTATCATCTGAAAGATATATATTAATGTTAAAATGCATTAATCACAATTTTTTATTTCAGAAATAAGTAATGAAAAATTATTAAAATGGTTAGCATCTAGCTATTTGGAAATATTTGGAAATTTTGATGAAAATGATTATAATTACAAAAAATCAAAATTTACAGCAGATATTTTAGTTTTAATTTTAAATTATGATAAAACTATCTATAAGAAATTTTTTGATTTTTACGGAAGGAGAGAAGAATATTGGTTAAGTGTTCGTAAGAGAATTATTTTCTTTTTGGAAGAAATTGTTGAGGAAGAAAATAAATTTAATCAAAATAAGGAATTTTATTTAAAAATAATTTATAAATTTAATCGATTTAGAAAAATGTTGGAAAAAAATGAACATCCAGATAAAATTACAAAAGAATTTAAAGAAAAAAATTTTGAATGGAAAGAAAATGAAGAAATTGAATTTAATAAATTTTTGGAATTGGAGCATTCAAAAATGTTAGAAAAATTAATTAAGGAAAATAAAATGTTTAAGGAAAAAATTGAAGGTTTTATTTTTTAATTAAAAAATTATTTATTATTTAGAATTGAGACCTTTTGAAAAAACTAGAATGAATAAATTAACAGGAAAACAAACAGAATTGGATACAAAAGTATTAAATTATTTAATTAAAAACCTTTAGATGAAGTTCGATTATAATTAAGTTTAATGATTTTAAAAAATATTTTATTCAGAAAAAAGATAAATATAATTTATAAAATATTTTGAACTTAATAAAAAATTAAAATAAAATTTTAAACATATATTTATTTCTCTGATAAGCTGAAGAATTTTTGTTTGAATACAAAAAATTTTCAAATAACTAGAGCTGTTTAGAACAGAAATTTTGGTTGGAATTTAAAAAGAAAACAAAAAATCGCCAAATCGTAGACAATTACCTTAATAAATAAATTATTATTAAAAAGATTTATTATTTTTAGATAATTTACTACAGCTGTGAAGATAATTTTGATGAAGATTGTAATAAATATATTTTTTTAATTTTATAAAATTTAATTATTTAGTAGGTAAAAACAATAATATTAAAGAAAATGCTTTTACACAACATTTTGATTTAATTATGGAATTATTTGAAAATTTAGAGGAAGAAAATTATTATGAAAATTTTGATGAAAAGTTCGCGACCATTTATTTAGAAGCAACATTTTTATTTTATAAACAACAAATTAATAATTTTCCTCAATTAAAAGCTTTTGAAAATATTAGAAAAGATATAGATAAATTACATAAAATTTTAGACGATGAATATAAAATAATAAATAAAACATTAATTTATCCGGAATGGCTTAATGAAATTATTAATTTAGATTTTGAGGTATAAAAATTTAAATTTAAAATAAAAAAATAGTTAAAATATATATATGTAGAAGGGTTCTTCAATTTTTTTTGTATAAAAATTCTTAAATGATTTTTAGTACTTATTTAGAGAAAGTATTTTTATTTAAAAAAAGTTATGTCAAAATAAAAATAAAATTCAATTAAAATCCAATTTTTTAAGGATATTTCAAGAGAAGAATTACAAAAAATATATTTTTTATATATAAAATGGTTAATTGTTAATTCAAAAAAGTTTCGACAATTTCTTTGCAAAAAAGCAAACGAAAAAGAAATATTTTCTAGAATAAAAACAATTTTAAATTCACTTGTTGGGTTTGACTATTTTGAGATTTTAGAAGAAGTATTTCCAGATATATTGAAAATAAGTATATTTATTTATTTAAAATAAAGGAGTATTTAATTAAAGATTTAATTTTAAAATAGAAAACATAGAATATATTTACCGTAAATATTATTCTTAAATTTAAATTGTTTAATTAAAAACTTTTTAAAAAATTTTCCACTTTGCCCTCCAAGTTAGACTTGACTACTAACCACAATAGAAAGTGAATATTTTAAAAATAATTTTATAATTAAATAAAATATCATTAAGATTTTATACATGCAGCTACAGAAATAAATATTTACAATAAATTTCTCAACTATAAGGTTGGAGAAATAAATGCGAATTCTGATGAATTAAGAATGTCTATAGCTATATTAATTAATATTTTAATAGCAAACAAAATAAAATCATCTACTAATTTAAAACATAAACTAAATAACGAGGAACATCCAAATCAGTCAAATATTGAATTATTGGAGGCTTTTGAAAAAAAGGCAGAATGGTTGAAAATAAAAATATTTTCATCTGAAAGAATAAATTCTTTAAAGAATGTTTGTCTAATTATTCGATTTTTTCTTCTAACAATTCCAATAATTAACAAAAATATTCTTAATATAAATAGCAGTTTAGAAGACTTATTTAAAATGGAAATTGAAGATAAATTATTAAAAAATACAAAAAATATGGAAGATATTTTAAAATGGGATGGATCAGAATGTGAAAATGAGAAAGAACAAAAATTGGCGTTAATGCAACAAAGATCTTATTTAATTAAACAACATAAATATTTTATTCAAATAGAATGGGAAATTTTAAAAATTTGTAAAATTCCAGGAATAAAAACTAGACTACAACAATTAGTGCCTCAACTAAAAATGTTTAGCTTTGTGTTAAAAAGCGAAGGTTTTTTTAAATTTTTATATTGAAGTCGAATCAGGATATAATATTTTCCCTTGCGTATACAACTCAGTTTATTGTACGCTTTTTAAATATTTATGGTTGAAGATTAGTTGAGGGAGCCTAATAGATATCTCTATTTACATAAGTGTTCAACTCAGTTTTGTGTAAGGTTTTCAGCTCCAAATGCGTATAATTTACTATAACTAGATTTAAAAATATTCAAAAGTTTATTGTTTATTAAAATTTTTGTGTGATTTTCTTTATTTAAAAATAAATTAAAATCTGTCATAAAATTAAGAATGTGGGTAAAGCAAATTTATTATTTATCACCGACTTTTATAAATTTTTATCATTAGGGTTGAAAAAACTTTATGTAAATATAAAAACTTAGAAAAGTTTAAGAAGAATTATTTTAATTTAACATAAAATATTTTTTAAAGTTTTTTCATCTGATTGGCGCGTTAGATCACATTTCATGAAAATAATTATGGATGAATATCAACATGGGAAACTTGAAAATAAAATTGCTTTAAATTTTCTAGTTTGGGTATTTTGGGTAGAAAAGCAATTTAAAGAAATGAAAGAAGAAAATAAAGAAGAAATTAAATATTTAAATAAAATGTGGTTATTTAGAAGGGGATATTTTTATAGTAAATATGATGAATTATTTGAATTAAATGATAAAAATAAATTGGAAAAAGAAGGAAATTTAATGAGTAAAATACAGATTGGAATTTGGAAGAATTTAAAAGAAAAAAAATTAAAAAAGAAAAATTGGGAAAAAGAATGGAGAGATATAGAAAATGGAATTATTAGAGTTAAAAAGGAGGAGGAAGAAGAATTTGAAGAATTTTTAAACGAAGAAAAGAAAAAAGTTTTGGAAAAAGAAATTAATTGGGAAGAAGAAGAAAATTTGGAGGAAAAAGAAGGAAGAAAGGAATTTTATAAATTTGTAATTGAAGGTAATTTATAAATAAATAATTTTAAAAAATTGAATATTTTAACATGTAGCTTTATCTAAAGAAATTGGAAGAAAAAGATTGGAAGATTTAATTGGAATTTTGAATACAAAAGAAATAATTAAAAATATTAAAAATAAATTAATAAATAAATATTTGGAATTAGAAAATTACGAAATAGAATTTTTAATTGAAATTGAAAAAATAAAAGAGGAATTTGAAGAAATTGAAGAAAAAATTGAAATAAAAGAAGAAGAAAGGGGGGAGGATGAGATAAATAAAATAAAAGAAGATGAAATAATTAATGAAGAAAAGGATAATGAAAGTAATAAAAAATTGGTAAAAAAAATTTATAGAAAATTATAAATAAATAATATAAATAAATATATACATATAAATAAATAATAATAATTATTTTTAAGATTGCTAATATTCTTAAAAATGAATTAAATAATGAAAATAACAAAGAATTAATTGAAGAAGCTTTGGAATTATTAAATGACAATTTTATAAATAAATGGGCTTTGGCAAACAAAAAACAGGCATGAAATTCTTGTTTAATTTTTAGTTTAATAAAAAATGAAGAAAAAAATGTCCGGTATTTCCCTGCTGTTAATAGAATAGCAGCAATATTTCTACCTATAAATAATAAAAGCTGTAAATTTCAAGTTCGGAAACACTAATGTTAGTGTTAAAAAAAGTTCACGATTGAATAAAGACCACTTATGTATTAGATACGATTTAAACCTAAAGCCCCGGAAGCAGTATTTCCAAATCTACAATATTCTAAACATTTATTCTAATTAATCAACTAGTAAATTTATCAGGAGGTCTATCTATTTTCAAAAAATTTATTCGAATTAAATAATTACGATAATGAAGAAATTGTTGAAATAATTATTTTAACAAAAGAATTGACTAAAAATGAATTTTTTGGAAATATTTCAAATTGTACATTTAAAAGAAAAGAAATTTGTAAAAATGATATTTCTCTGTTTTGTATTCTCTGTGAGGTAAAAAATAAATTAATCTTTGTTATTCTTAATTTTTAAAAAAATTTTTGAGAAAACAAAAAATTCCAAATTAAATTAAAAAAACTTTTTGTTAATTTAATTACATAAAATTTTAAATAAAATTCCGTAAATAAAACGTCACTTCAATTCATACATTTATTAAGTTCGGTTAAAGAAAGTAACCGAAATGAGCAGGATTCTATTTTAGAAATTTATTTAATAATCTAATAATTATTTAGAGCGAAGAAATTCAATTTATTCGAAAAATAGAATATTTTGGCCCTTTAATAAAAATTTATTTTAAAAACTTTTATTTCAATTTGCATTTAATTTCTGTAACAAATAAAATATTTGGAAGAGAATTTGAAAAAATATTTAGTAAAATAGTTAATTCAAATAAAAAACAAAAATTTGAAATTATTGATATGGTTATAAATGATTTTGTTAAAAAATCAAAATTGTCTATTAATTTAGATGGGGAGATATATTCATTATCAGGTATTTTTTAATTAAATTTATTTATAAAATTAATTGTGGACATTTATTTAAAAAATGTTTATTTTGAAAAAAAATTTTTAATCAAAATTTTCTGTTGATTTTTTAGTAAAATAGTTAATTCATAATAATTTTTACTTTCTGTGTGACAATATCAATATATTAAATTATTTTTAATTAAAAAATAAATAAATATAATTTAAGAATATCGTTCAAATCTAAGAATGCTGCAAATATTGAAACAAATTGAAGATAAATTTTGGATAATATATAAAGTTGCACGTCGATGGGCTATAAGTAAAAATAAATAAATATTTAATTTTGATTTAAAAAATATTTTTAGATAATCTAATTTTTGGAGAAATATTTGGATTATTAAATGAAAATATAATTTTAATTTTGGTTTATAAAATAATCGAGGAAAATAAGAAGGAAAATTCGATTTTAATTTTAATTGAGAAAATGTTTAGTGAATTAATTGAAATAAAGTAAGTAGAAATAAAATTAATTTAAAAATAATTATTTTAAGTAATGAGAATAATAAAATTATAAAAATAGAAGAAGAAATTAATGAAAATGTTGAGGATTGGAATTTAGATTTAGATATAGAAAGAAGAAAATTCGAGTTGGAAAATAATGGGTTTACTGGTTTAAAGTCTTCAGAAAAAACAAAAATTGTTTGGAAAATAATTAATTTAGGGTATCCACCACAAAATGTTGCTTTTAAAATTAATTATTATACACAAATTATAATTAAAGAAAAAATGGAAATTGGTTAGAGAAATAAATTTAAATATATAAATTTAATTAATTTTTAGCAATTAAACAATTAAATAAAATTGAAAAGTTGGAAAATGAAAATGAAATTAAAAGAGAATTGAATAAATGGATAAAGGGAAAAGATTTTGTAGAAATGGTTGGTTAAATAATCTTTTTTATAAAATTTAGAATAATTTCCCAAATATTTTATTAGTTTGAGGAAATAATTTTAATGCCTCTTTTTGTAGAGATGTGATAAGTCTGTAATTATTAGCCAATTAAAAACTGAAAGTATTTAAATCTGTTGTACATAATCTGGGTAGAATTTAAAAAGTATAGGAGTTTAGGCATTGAGGAGTCTTTTACTTTAATTCTTAATTAATTGCTAAATTTAAAAAATATTTTTTCTAAATTTATACTTTTTAGTATCAACATTATTTACTTGTTATTTGTGCCTATTCTCCAGACAGTTTGGGAGGTCCTTCACTTTGTGATTTAATTGAATGTCATTTAACATTTCTTTTGATAAAAAAATTTGAAACATTAAAATTTATTGAATATTTTCATATAAACCCAAAAGCTTTATTTAAAAGAGGAAATTGTCCAAAAGCAACAGGAATTAAAGAAGAGGTTTTTTAATTAAAAGAAATTTTATTTAATAAATAATTTTTAATTAAAAGGATTGGAAATGTACTGGTTGGATTATTGGGTTTAAAATTTTAAAAGAAGAAGAAACTAAGGAAAATATAGAAGAATTAAAAAATAAAATTAAATCATTAAAAGAAAATGATTTTAAAAAATATATTGACAAAAATGGAGAAGAGGGAAAAATCAAAATTGGAGCTTCTTATTTAAATGAGAAGAAATTTAAAGAATTTATCGCTGCATAAAAAGACGAAACTTTGTTTGAAAATGATTTTTTGGAGGAAAAAAGTTTGGAAAGATTTTTATAATTTAACGAAAAACATTTGGAATTTCTTGGGGATATTTAATTTAAATTTATTTTTAGATTATTTTTTATTTTTATAAATATATATAAATTTATTTTAAAATACAAAGTGTTCCGAGTTTAAGTTTCGAAATAGTACTAACTATATTTTTCACTTCATTTTTATGAAATACATATTTAAATATATATAATGTTTATCACTACAGGTTTATGTTTGACAAAAAATATAATCAATGTGATCAGGTTTTCGGTTAAGAATCGAACCGAAAATTGGAGATTTTTCGGTTCATTCGTCAAAACTCATTTTCCTAGAATCCTCAGAATTTGTTGATTGTGGAGGAAATATGTTGATTGACCTTTTGATGTAGTAATGAATAAATATAGTAGAGATTATTTTTGTTCTTATTAATTTTAATAGTAATTAATCTAAAAATATTCGGTTATTTTAATTAAATATATTAATAAAAATTAAATTAAAAATCTTTGATTTCTTTTTGAACATTTTTTTAAATTAAAAAGGAACGGCTGTCTATTTAATATATAAATTAGTGTGGGCGTTCATTTGTTGATTATTTCTTTATACTAAGCATCTGTTCGAATTTACTGAACTTTTTATTACTAGAATGAATTTAAAAAATTTTCATTTCAAGTAAAATCATTTTATTTTTAAAATTTATTTTTTATATTTAAATATTTTAGCTTTTTTAACATATATTTAGAAAATAGTTTTTAATCAAATATACAATTTAATTTTTAAATATATATTTAAATAATATATATGCATAATTTTAAATTATTTTCACGGGATATAAAACTGCAAATGTTCGTAGGGTGGATACTTTTACGAGCCCTTTAGGAGTATCTAGCAATTGACATGAGCTTAGTAATATTTAATATTATCATAATCTCATCTCTTGATTTAAGTGTTTTTTGTGTTTACAGTCTTTAGTCTTTGTGTGTAGTCTTGAAAACATATATGGTCTCTAATTTTAGTCATTAGGTGTAGTCTTGTTCTTGATTTTGTACACTAAGATCATCCATTCGATAGGATGCTAATTTAACTAAAATCAACTTTATATACATATATTTTAGAATATAGTTAATATATATTACAACAAATATGTTTGGAACAGCTCAAGATCCAGCTATTGTTGACTGTGCTATCTGTGAAAAGAGAGTTGAACATGCAGATAAATTTGTTGTGGAGAAAGAGATCAGTAAGTGAATTTAATAAATATCATTTTCTAAATAATATATTAAGTTACTTTAATTGATAGGTAATACTAGAAATAATAAATTGAATTTAAAGCTTGTATATATTGTATTCTTTTAATCAAAATTTAATTTTCAACCCTCTAAAAATAAATTTAATTTTAGTTCATAAAGACTGTTTTAAATGTGCCTTATGTGGAACAAGACTCCAAGTTGGATTTTGTGCAATGGAACTTTCCCTATATAATCGTTATGGACCTCGCTGGTATTGCTCATTAATTTGTGCGCATCAACCCCAAGCTGTTAAAGAAGCAAAACTTAAAGAATTAGGAATACCTGTAAATTAATTGAAAATTAAAAAAAAAAACAATTTATTTTGTTTTTAAAGGTTCGTCAACCGAAAACAAAGAAAGAAAATTAAAAACAATGGCAAAATGATAATTATACAAATATGTGTATGTATTTGAGGTGCCAGATAAGAAAATTATTTTAAATCAAGCATTGTAAAAGGGTTAAAACATTTAAATGAATAAAAATTATTTTAAAAATATTTTATTTTCGGGAAAGAATTCAATACAATTCTTACAGAGTAAAGAAAACAAAAAAGGAAATTTTTTGTAAGAGAAAATTCGCTTAAATTCCTGTGCATATACCTAATCAAAATTAATTATCAGTTTATCTACTGGATTTGTGGCAGTTATAAATTTCTATTAATTAGATCTTCAGATAGTATTAAATACTAATTCAGGGGGTTGCTGTTCTCGATTCAAACTAGCATTTAGTATCCTATTTTATCGAACATATTTTTTTAAGTTATTTAGGTTTTACTTTTGCCTAGCAATTTTCCAAGCCAAATTTTCGCAAACTTGCTCGATCTTTGACTCGGGCTGGCTACCTATTAACATTTATTTTAATTATTCATACAAATATTTTTAAGAAATTAAATAGTAATTTATTTTCCAGTATTTATTTAATATTTTCTTCACTATTTTTTCCATTTCTTTCATCTCTTATTTTAGTAGATCTAATACCCAATTCATTAACATATTCATCTACATTATCGCAATTATCTGTCGAATTACATTTTCGTAAAAGAGAAATTGCTTGGTCTCTCAATTTT